GATTCTTTTGTGCTACACTTGAAGAAAGGGGGGAGAATTCACCAACCACCTGGTAGGATTCTATAAAAGTTAAACAAAACCTACACACTGTCTGTGAGAAACAAGAAAATACAATGTTTCCCCATAGACAGTGTGTAGAGGTTGAAAAACAGCAACCAAAGGGATTTAAAATCCCACAGGAGACTAAACAGCCAGATGATGAAGATAATGGGAGATGATTGTGTGGAGAATCATTCACATGCCTGCCTAAATGATCTTGTCCAAGGTTCAGTAAAAATGAGTTACAAGAGTGAGACAAGTAATGAATCTGATGTGAAAAAATGTGAAAGAGCCTGCAACCATCAATATCCAGGGAAGAATACACCAACTCGGGGAGTTGGTGAACCCATCCTGTAAGGGTTGAATGCAAAAGGTCCCTGGACAAAGAAGGATCCAAAGGTAGAAAAAAAATGATGAAAGGAGTCCCAAATAGAAGACTTATATGCCAAGTAACACTAAGCAGTTCAAACCAGATATAAAAGACAATATAGGACCGACAGAAATAAAACAATGACAACAAATCCCAAGAAATATTCCACTGGTCCTGCAATGTCCACTGGAGAAGGTGCACGAGTGTGTGGTGTAAAAGAAATGAGTGGTTCGAGGGAAGTCAGTGTTTCCAAAAGTGAAAGAGCCATGTACAGGGTGTTAATGAAGAACATGAATCTTGGTGATAAGACATTCCATTACTCACAGGTGAAGTGGTGAAGGTTGATCCAGATTGAAACTGGAGTTGAAGAACATGCCCAGATGTACCCAGTACTGGGTAGGCACGAGAAAAAACTTAGTATGGTTGACAAGCCAGCACAGCTGAGCAACCTCCTGTAGAAGAATGCAGGTATGAGAGAAGGAGTTCTCCTGAGAAGGGATGAGAAGAAGCCAATCATCCATGTAATAATGGAACCTCAGCCCCAATCCATGAAAATGGTGGGTGAATACTCCCATGACTCAACTGAAGACATAAGGAGCAGTCACAATGCCAAAAGGAAGAGCAGGAAACTGGAAGACTCCATCTAAATGGAGGAAACAAAGAAAATGTCTGGAATACGAAGCGATCAGAATGTGTAAAAAGACATCCTAAACATCAATATTGGTCATGCACAGACCAGGTGAAAAGAACTCTAAATAAGGAATCGAGGGATGACAAGAAACTAAGTGAGAGATAACTTGATAACCCGGATGCTAGTCCTCGTTCATCTTGGGGACCACAAAGATGTGAGAGTAATAACCCAGAACAGGGGCAAATACTCTCTCAATGACACTTTTGGCCAAGAGATTGGAAACCACATCCTTGAGATAATGAAGATAAATGGAATCAGGGGGAGGAGGAAAGGAAACTGTTAAAGTGGAGTAGGAAAAAGAGAAGTGGAGAGATATGCCATGTGTGAGAACCTTAAGAACCCATCTGTTAGCTGAAAATTTACACCAAAGGCTGGAGAAGACAGGTAAAAGAGCTTCCACAAGGCCAAGCCCGATAAGATAGTCATTGACGAGATGAACAATGACTCTGAGATTGATAAGTACCTTAGAAATAAGGTGAAGTGATTAAAGTTAATGCAGAAGAGAGACAAAGGCATGAAAACTGGCCAATAGAAGGGGAAATAGAAGTTAAGGGGTCTACTTCACAAGCAGATAAAAGTGATTTCAAAGACTTGGAATTGAGGAATTGAAATAAAGGATGGTTGTAAGCCAGGACAAAAGAGTGAAGCAGACAAGGAAGATGAGGCATGTTAGTACCTGTATTCACGATATGGACCCTAACACTAGGCAAAGGGGGGGGGGGGAGACAAAGTAGTCTTTAGTATGAGTTTCATGTAGTAAAGTATATTAGGAATCGAAAGAGACAGAAAAGATCCTACCTGCAAAATCATGTCAAGGGAGAAATAGCTGGTCAAAATCGTCATCCTGATCATATTCACATTAAGGAGAAGGAACATTGGCCAAATGGACTGAAAAAGGAGACCCAGTATGCATGAAGAAACCCAGAACACATTGAACAATGACTGTCATGTCTTCCACAGACAATGAGCCTCCAATAGCCGCATGTCCCAGATTAATAACATTGTCACTATAATGGGAGGAAGAGAACGTTACCAGCACTTGAGAATTCATAATGGTGGGTAATCTTCAAATGGTTTATAAAGAAACGTAAACTGGTTATCAGAAACACAAACACTGAACCAGTTGTCAACTTGAACAAAACGTAGCTCAGTCATAAACTATTGCAAATCCAAAGTCATTGATTAAGAATTTTGGAATGCATTCATTCTAAACAGTGCTAAGGTAAAAAATGAAGTTAATTTTAGTGCAAGAGCTGAGCTAGGACCTACTGTGCAAAATAAATTTTAATTTTATTAAAATATTGTGTTAACCCTATAAGAACATATTTGGGTGATTTGATCAACCTTGTAACCATGAAACTATACACACACTATAACTAAGTTAACCATATGTGTCAGCACAAAATTTGACAAGATTTTAGTAAACATTACAAGTATATTGTAAACAAAAAATCAAAGACTCTGATAAAGTATTTCTACTCAAGATTTGTGTACATTTCCAAGGCCTTTACAGAGTCCTTCTCAGTGAAAGGTTATTTTCATGCTTCAAATAAAAATACTTCTTTTCATCTTACATTTTTCATATATCACTTAAATAACCTCTAAAACATCCTAAATGAATATCAAAAGTTTTTTTTTGGCAAAACTTTACATTTTTTCACTCAGTGAAAAGTTGAAAAGTATGAAACAAAATTAATAATACCATTTTTCCTCTGCACTAACAGCAGTAGTGATCAAAACGTTCCAAATTACTTATCTTAACACTTTCAACTGTTAACCTTTTTCATATCTGTTTTCTTTTAACCTTATGGTTTTATTGCTATACTTTATACCCACTAGAGCAGTACATTTAAGTCAAAAGCAGTAAATCACAGCAGGAGCACATTAGCTGTTTCTCATGGAGCTAACATAAAAAGCACATGAACTGAGTGTCATGTTTTACACTCTACTTGAGCTAGTGAAATTTTAGACCTTTTATTTTACTGAAATTTTGTTAGAATAAACTCAGAAGTTATGTTTTACATTTTAGTTAATTTTTTTAATAAAGGATCTCTCCCTTAACCAGAATTGAAGTAGTGTTTCTAGATAACAGGGCAAGGAACAACAAATTCTGGTAATTGTTTCTTGCATACACCATTAGAACGTCTGGAATCTGCTCTATCCAAATATGTAATTCATATGATGGTAATATATTTCACTCAGGAGTTATGAGCAAGCAAACACACAGGGTTTTAAAGAGGCTGCACTATGTTACCAGCAATGGTCATGAAAGTGAACTAATTAACTCTTTTTTTTAATTCTGAAATCAAATCATGTAACCTTTCTTAATTGTTTGTTTGAGGTTGTAGATGTTCTTCTTGATCTTCTGATCTGGCAGAAGGCTACTACTTCAATCGCTATGTCCTTGTCGACATCAAACCTATTTTTTGAATGCTGCCACAGCATCTTTGGCCTTGATAAATGCATTGTCATTAACAAGGGCTGTCAAAATGTTCGTGATCACATCCACATTGGTTGCACAGGTTGCAAGTCGAACAGCTCTGAACCTTGCACATGCAGGGAATCATGGAAATAATGATGACATGTCAAATAGTAGCAAAGCTCCAGTCACAGTCAGTGGCTTGGAGTCATCTACTGGAGATCTGTTGGACTCTGATCTTAAAAATATATGCAACAATGGGCAAAGAAGAAGAAAAAGGCTCACACAGCAGACCTGTCAGTTACACAAGAAGTATTGTCATTAACATTGGGGTTTTTGCTGATGATATGGTCTAACATAACTCAGTCAATTTCATCCAATTTGGAAACTGTAAATTGTAATCATCATATCTCATTGTACGCTACATCCTGTACAAGTTTCACCAAAATTGGATAAATCCTGGATTAAGGATCTGGTTAAGGGAGAGATCCTGTGCTAAAAATATAACTATAAAATCAAGGATTTATTGTACTCACTACATATTCAAGCCACCAAGACTTCCCTATGCCTTGTTTGGGTATCACAAAATTGGGTGTCCCCCTACCAAAAAAAAAAAATTCATGTAGCTTTCAAATATGTATTTTAGAACATAAAAAACACATCAGTCACTAGAATAGAATATCTCAAAACTACTACAATTTATTTGGCCTCCTAAGTAAGCTATAAATAGGTTAAAAAAATTCTACTACTATTTGGAACATGAAATCTGATCAATACAAACAAACAAAAAAGTTCCTTGCCTAACAGCTCATTACAGCAAAAGCAAACACAGAATCATAAGATTTACAGAGAAGAAACTGCTCTTTCTATTGATTATAAACACCATCAACCACGTAAAGGTAATTAGCAAACAATTTTGAAAGTTGGAAAGAGATGGGAGGGGCATCTCTCGTGGGTTTGACAAATGTTTTAGAGTCTTGCTTATAAATGTGCATAGTTTGTGTTTCTAATTGGCTGTAAATTGCAACAACATATTTTCAAAGTTATACAATTCTGAAGAGGAGAAATCAGAATTCAGAAGCATCATACGACACAGATAAATGAAGACTGAGATATCTTTAAAGTTAATTTTTGAAATTAAGAAGTTAAAACTTAGATAATACATAGAAATTTGAATTAGTAACTATTTTTAATGCAAAGTTTATTGACACACATTGATAAATTGTTTAATTGAATTTTTAACATAACAATAAAAAGTCATGACATGCAAAAAGTTATTTTTTATTGCTCCTCAGTGACAATTTACTCATGTACTAATGCTGAAAAAAATTTACATTCACACTATAGGTATTAATATTCATTATTATTTCTAATTGTTTTTTACTATCATCATATATCCATGAAAACAACAATTACTGTGTTAGTGTTTATTCTGTTATTTTAATATTTCTAGGTTATTAAACATGACAACATTATTTTACCTTCATGCTTTGTGTCTACAGGTTTTCTTCTCTCTTGAGGGGGTGTAGATTTTCTTCTCTCCTGAGGGGGTGTAGGAATTGTGATTTTTCCATAGTCAGCACTCGCTGGACGACGAGCATATCTGCTGAGAAATAAAAAACATTAAACAACTAGTTGAAAGTTACTTCCAAGTTATGATTAATCAACAGTTCTAATATTTTAATACAGCTGTATACAAATGAATATTGATGATTGCTCACAAGGAAAAGGGTACTATTGAATTCCATTTTAGAGATTACTATTTCACTTATTTAGAAAATAAAAAGCAACACAAACCTTTAGCAAGCTCGTGTATAAAGAATGTCAAAATCCTAATTTTTTCTTTCTCAGCTACATATATCAGTTTTGTGTTGCATGGATATGAACTTACACTGTGTCTACTTTTAAAGGCTTTTTTTCTTTACGGTGGACAGGTGGGGCTGTAGCTGGTCGTAATGAGCACTTTCCTTCAACATGTGTCTCTCTATAAATATGGAGATAAGTATAGCAATATATGTAATCCTTGCTAAATCAACAAATACCAGTTCATTTAACCCTTTCCAAACTAGTAAGGTATCATTGATATTTCCTGCCTTTTCAGGATTTGTGAAAATATTTAACCAAATTGAATGAAACTTACTACAAACTTTCTAACTAGTATCAAGTTTCATTTAGTATTTCTACCATATTTTAGGTGGTAAAATTTCCAAAATTCTATTGTGAGCTAGTTTTAAAAAAAAACACCACCACCACAAATACTTCCTTTTGGCTTAAGGTTTCAATTTTCCTTTCTATAAGTGATCATTATGTTTCATTTTTACATTCCAGTTAATTTCAAACTTATGGCTGTAAATCATACAAACAATGCAAAAGTGACAAAGATTTATCAGTAACCAATGACTTCACTTTTGCAAGTGTTGGGTCATAAATTTTTGTCATCAATGTTCTTGGTCTAAATCAATATATCTCAAAAATACAGTTTACTTTCAATAAATAATAAGTAATTTCTTTTAGTTGTTTGCAGTTCATGAATACAATCAGTTTAATAATATATTCAATAAAGGAGGATCAATGTCACTTACAAAGTTCAATGTCACTTGTCATAGAAGAATGTTCCTACATCTCAACACACATACTTTAACACAAAACATTATTTGTAATGAAAAGAATGTAAAAGTAACCTATAAACCACTTTCCAGGTCTGCAGATTGTTCTTAAGTAAACTTTGCATTAGGGTTCTTTGTTAATCTGTACAGGAGCTCTATGTATCTAATAAGTTAATAAAACAAACATTATTACAGGGTTGAGTACATTATATTAAAATGATTTGGAACATGCAAATTAGTATGTCAAGTGGTCACTGCTGATATTATGTCAGAGTAGAATGAAAGGTATGAGAACTACAGCCCTTTCTGACACAAAAATATAAAGGTATGTTCAGATTAAGAATTTAGAATTTCCAAGATAAGAATATCCCTTGTAACCTAATGGCAATGCTCAACTTGAGGCACCAGGACCACTCAGAAAAAGATCTGCAACAAGTCATACCCCAATAGTGGTAACCAAAGTGCAGCATCTTGTAACAGGTAAGAATTCATAAACACAAGTGTGTCTGATGTTTGGTTTGAATTTCGTGCAAAGCTACAAGAGGGCTATTTGCACTAGCCATCCCTAATTTAGCAGTAAAAGACTAGAGGGAAGGCAGCTAGTCATCACCACTCACCTCCAACTCTTGGGCTACTCTTTTACCAATGAATAGTGGGATTGACTGTCACATTATAATGCTCCCACGGCTGAAATAACGAGCATGTCTGGTGTGATAGGTATTCAAACCCGTGACCCTCAGACTGCGAGTCAAACTCCCTAACCATCTAACCATGCCGGGCCCACAAGTGTAACTGACAGATTCTCCAGGCAATAGTATGCTACATTATAATAAAGGTTCCCTGTTTGGAAATATGGCCAAAAGGTTATGGGCACAACTGAGATCAGGCTTCCAGTCATACCTCCCATTTCAACCATCACATACCTAAAGGAAAGTTGGAAAATGAAATGGGTATTCAAACTATTCCAGTGAAGACATATTGGTAAATTTGGCACACACAACACATACTAATTTTTATGTGACTGAACTACTGAAACAGATATTGGGAAACTGTCATCTTCATGCACTACATGGATTATGTTAGGCCTGCAGGGATGTTAGGTGCTTTGAACATCACAGCCTTATGCCAATGCCTTCTTCAGTGGAAACTATGCTGTAGGGTTAATGTCAAAAAGCACAGTCTTCAAATAGAGCAGGACTGGAAGTGGTGACATGGACTGTAATGACAAGGTAAAGCTCCAAAATAATTTTAATACAAAAATACTTAACTCTCTCTAGTTAAACTACTTTATTTCCTCTATATTATTGTAGGTACATTAGAATATCTTCTATCTAATCATTTTTACCCATTGGTTCTAGCTATATTCAAACTGAGCTTCATTAATAATTGTTCAACTACATGCAGTAACATCATGAAACAGTAGTATTGCAGAACTTTAATAATAACAGGGAAGGAAAATGACTTGACAACAAGAAAATGTAAATCTATAATTTGGACTGAACAAAAATATCTTTAAAAGATAAATAAATAGTTATTTGTAGGTGATACTCCTTACAGCTGCACAAAAATGAAAATGGGAAAAGTTGTCATTATTCTTCATGAAATGCATTAAATAAATATAATGCTGAGATATCAATTCTAAAATACTTTTAGTAAAAGGTTGTTGGAACAGAATCAGAATCACATTTTTTACTTAAATTTAAAAATTTGATATGCACATATGCATTCCACACCTGAAGCAAAAGGCAGCAGTAATAATAATGTGAATTATAATCTATAATTTGATACCAAACTTATTGACATACATTCATAAAACAGTAGTTCAATAAATTTTAAATGTGAGCCTACAAACACGATGACATGGCCTTCGACCCATGACCATAGGAAGACCAGTGTCGGTAAAGTTAAGAATTTAACAATGAACACAAATGAAAAAACACAACGCTTTAAATTTTTAATTTGCAAAAAATAACCAAAAACAAAAATTTAAACCAGCTAATAATTTCCAATGGTTTAAGTTTTTTGCAGAGACTGGCCTAATTTACACATAATTTGTCCTTTCTTACCTAAGACTACCTCCATACGCTAGAAATGGAGTTAATCCTTCTTGTTTTTCTTGGCTCCAGAAGTCCCCACGCCGACTGTCTACAGCAGAAGTTTTGTCTCCATATAAAGGGGTACCATTTGAACGCTGACGATACTCATCAGCTTTCTTCAATCTCTCTGTAACTTCATTATACCAAGCAGTTTCACCAGAAGAATGTCGAATGTCACCTTCCTAGTCAATGAAGATCATTATAATATGTCCATATTTGAATAGTTTGATAGAAGCTAGAACACAAAACACCAGAACTAACAATGTCATATACTTTAAAGCAATTACACATGATTTTGAACACTTCACCAAAATATCAGTTTTTATACTGTGCGAAATATGTAACAGATTTTCAAAAATGGCTACTATTCTCATTACATCACACATGAACATCTAGAAATATTGCAGCTTAAAAAATTAATAAAAGGAAGGTTTCAGTAAAATTAATCAACAAAAATGGCTACTATTTTCATTGCATCACACATGAACATCTAGAAATATTGCAGCTTGAGATTTAAAAAATTAATAAAAGGAAGGCTTTAGTAAAATTATTCAATAACTTGTATTCTCCCTTCAACATTTTCTTTTAAAAAAATTCAACAAAGCAAAGCTGTTGCATATTTAATTTTGTCACCAAGTTTACTGGAAGAATAAAAGAAATAAAAATTATGTGGACAGCTGGTAGTTTTTAAAGCAAATCAGATGAATTGTTTATGCTCAACTAAAATAAATACTTAGAAGGCTCAGATTTTATACAATTAATTTCCAAATTAATTATCCAGTCCAATTTGTAATGATACCTTTTGTTTGGGAGACTTTCTCCAACTTCCATCTATGTACTGGTAAGCTGAGAATGGTCGATACTTTGCTTTGTATTCTGTTTTCTTGGAACCTCTCCTATTTTTGAAATGTTAACATTAATTTAAAGCAGCTTTGATCAAAAAGTAGGCATACTGAGTCTAGAGAGACATTATTTTATGAATTCATTTGTTTAGCAAATCTATCATTACAGACCTATGCTGACATATCACTCCATATACCTTCAAGTTGCAGATCAAAACCACAAACATGAGAATGAATGAGATATGTAGATACACTGTTAAGTTACAAGCTAAACCTCTCATAATAAGTTACAGACAAGTGGTATGTAATGAAAAATATACAAATAAACTTACTTGTACAAACTAAAAGCCTTTTCTCGTTCAGTTGTTCTCTCTCTCTCGGCAACTACGTGACTTTTGTTTCTGAATATCCTTGATGCAATGCATTTACATATGCTTCATATTTGAGGGGTAATTATCTGTTGGAAATTAATTTTAACTCAAAAAACATAAATTTCAAATCAGACAAACGTACCTCTAAAATACTGTAATACAAAGTACTGAGGAGGGAATAAAAGTGTCATAATGAAAGACACTCGGATGCTGAGCTATTGGACATGAAAAATTACATACCTAGACCATAACAACAATGAGTGATAAGATCAAGCAAAACATGAGCAAATTACAGAACCAGAGCGATAAGCACTGAAATGGATTTATCTGGAAGAACTGAGTGGAGAGGACCAGTCTTGAAAAACCTGACTGGGACAACAACAACAGACAATTCACCATTAATAGCCCTAGTATGCTGATCAAGGAGAGCTGACAGAGTAGTCACATGGTCTCCCTGCATGCTAGAAGATTGTGTGAAAAAAGCCTTCAAAACATTTGAAATAGCTATAAACTTTTTTGTTTTAACCAAAGTGTTAACATCAAGGTTAAAACTGACTTCAGAATTCATGAGCAGAGCAAAAGTAGGCAAGAAAGTTATAGCATGACTGTAAACAAGAAAGTCTGGTTTGCAGGAGGAGAGCAAAGCTTATGTAGTTCCTCTGGCACTTGCACAATACTGTAAGGTAGGTAGGAAAGTGGAGAACTTTAGGTAGGGTAAAGCTTGTAATGCATTACATCAAGGATATTTGAAACTAAAAGTCACATGGTCATTCAAAGAGTGAGAAAACTCAACAAGAAAAGGTTTATGTTATTTCAGAAGTAAGTCTACCTGATTTGAAATGAGTGTAGGAACAGTATCAAGATATTTCCTTATCAAATATCACATCATATAGAAACATGTCAGATAACTAAATGTTTATTATCTACTAAAAACACATATTCAACTATGTATCCAACCACAGCTGTGTCCAACTGTTCTGGATCTCTCTGATGGGATAATATAAATATTCATATTTGACTAGAAAAGCCTTGCTTACTTTATCACAGGTGTGTCTTGCTATCTTAATTCTTAATTATTACTCTGTCTAATGGAATTAAACAACTAACTATTTAAGAAAAAGAGACTACAAAGAGCCTAATTACTTGATCACAGCTGTGTTCTGCTGTTTTGATTATGAATGTTCCATAGAAGGGCTTACACTTCATTTTTTTTTAGGGAGCCAGCCGGGCCCCCAAAACACGCATTGCACCTGTAACTAACAGGGGAGTGTATATGTCTTTATCGACAGTAAAAGCTACGTATTGTGATCTTAGACAAATTTCAAAAGTGACACAGTGTTAAGTGCTGAGATTTGAAACATATTCGATGAAAGCATGTATGTCGAGCCAGGAGATGATCAATTTTAAACAATTTCACCAGCACGATCTGGGTCTTTTTTTATCATAATGTATTTAAAGTTATCATTTTTTGTTCTTTTTTCAAGGTTGGAAAGTTGATCATTGTGTATGCAATAAAGATACAATTAGGAGCATTTTTTAAGAAGGCTAATTTTAGAAAAAAGTCTTTAGGCAACTGGTTTGAAGATTCCTCTCTTTAGGAACAAAAACTTTCAAATGCTGCCACTATTTGACCTTTGATTGGAATACTTCGTTTGGTTTAGTTCAAAATGTGTAGAATGACAGCAAAAGTCTTTGAACTTATGGCTGAAGTGAATGAAGAATTTAGGCAAAGAACCTCAACAATCTGTCTCTCACAACGGTCACATAAAGTTATGTATCGATCATGTACTGGCCACAGGGTCAGTTCCCATTTTTATTTTTCACTCATTCAAATAAAAAATGGAAAAGAGATTATGATTTCTTTTTTTGCATGCCACATTTATTAGTAACTTCAACCACTTCAAATTTAATGAAGCATCAAAGTATATTCCCTATAGTTGTTAAAATTTTTAAGGTTAAACTGTCAACAATACTGCACAATGACATCAGCAATTGGAATCGGGCCAATTGTGCTCGATAATAATCATAAATTGATGATTTTCAATTGTGACATGATCAGTAAAACAGTAATATTATGTTGTTGTTTTTTGGGCTAGTGCAGTCTGCAAAGTTGGATTCAAAAGTGTTTGCCCTAACATGCAGTAAGGTAGATTATTCAAATAACTTAAAAGTTTGCAATTTTTACTTGCCTTTTTTTGGAAAGTGTTACAAAAAAAACTTGTATGTACATCTTTCAAATGTGTGAGCCTTAATACAGGTTTGGTGTCATGCATAAAGAGTTAAAAAAGTAGCATTCTGACTGAAAACAGTAGTCACCTTTATAAAAGTTCAAATAATCACTCTATATTTCAAATTCTATAAATCAAATGTTATATATCAATTCCATTACACTGGTATAAAAAGTCTGAATATTGGACAAAGTGATGGCTTTCTTATTAATGAAAGTGCATTTACATTGAATACACAGGCATTCATAGTGACAACATTTGTGGATTGTACATGAATGATTTCGGAAGGTCCATTCATGGTTTGTCATAAGTTCTGCTTGGTTATGAAACGCTTAGATCAATTTCTGTAGAGTCAAACTTTTAATTGCTCTTTTAGGGACCATATGGACTACCTAGCAGAAATGTTTTATGGGTCCACTGGCATTTTTGGGAGCCACTGGTTCCTGGGCCCCCACTAATTTCAAGCCCTGCATAAGACTGGATATTATAAATTCTTATCAGAAATAGATTAATAAGGCCCTAATTATGGTATGAATGTTTGAAATATAGAGATCAACCACCTGATCACAGCTGTATCCTGGTTATGACAGTCTCATGGGGCTGGATGTTATAAATATTTAAAGGATAAGGATTAATTACATGTAAGAAACAAATTAATGATGTCCTAATTATTTAATCACTGTTGTGTCCTACTATACTGTTTAAGACTGTCTCATTAGACTGGATGTTAAAAATATTTAAAAGCTAAAGACCAATTATATGATCACATCTGTGTTCTACTACCCTGGTTCTGTCTTGATTATGAAAGACTGATAGAACTAGATGTTATGCTTAATAAGAAGGAGACTAAAAACAAAAACAAATTACCTGATCACAGTTGTGTCTCGCTGTTCTGATTCTGTCCTGACTGATGGGACTTGATATTTCAAACTGGTTCTAGATACAGCTACAGTATAAGACCTTTTATGTCTTTTAAATCCCATTATAAACCATTGAAAAAAACTCTATAACACAGACTTTTACAAAAAAAAAGCATCAATAAGTGAGTAGAAACTGTGGAAAAATGGGCAGCCCTTCTGGCTAACAGAATCAATGCTCTACCACAGAGCTATCCAAGTGTACCAGTCATCCTGTCTCTCTTCATCCATAAGGCTTTTCTTAGTACAAGAAAATCACATTAATGGAATTTCATAATCAAACTGTTGGGCTCATTAATCAGTTACATACAACAAATTGATTCTTTTAATATGAAACTTGGATATTTGAAAAAATCAAAAATCCTAATAATTGGAAATGTCAATAGACCAAACCAAACAACTTAAATTAATTGAAAATGATAATGAGAAATCATAATGGCAATATTTCAAATACTTAAGTAATTGGAATAATTGGAAACCCTAATTTTGATTAGTTGATTATTTTTGTGACATTAACTTCTCATAAAATACTCAGTTAATCAAAATTATGATTAAATTGATTAATCAACTTAATCATAATTTATAATAACTGATTATTTTATGTGACACTAAATGATGCTCAAAGGTAATAGAGTATATTGATTAATCAAGTTAACTGCCCAGCTCTAAGTTGATCTTCATAGTATGTTGTGTCGATGGGGTATGGCAATTAGTGGGTTCATTTACCACCACCCAACCAAGTTATATGAAATCCGTCACAAACTTGCATTTATTTTATTACTATTATTTTAAATCCTGTTAAGGATCAATGAAAGAAAAAAACCAATAATGCCTTATGTGTGAACAGAGATTTGAACTCTTGGACAGCTCAGTGTTAAAGCACTGGCCCTTTTAACCAGAGGTCATGAATTCAAGCCTTGGTCCTACAATCATTATTTCTATTATACATTTTTCTGCTTGAAATATGATTTATTATTTTATTGACAAAAATTATTACACATTATGCTTGAACAGGATCATATGATCTATAAAGGTTAGTGAATATAAATTAAACACAGACATTTTGTCTAAATGGTAGCTAAAAACAAAACATTTCTAACTAGTGGCATACAGAAATGCAGATACAAAATAACTTATGGCTCTATATAAAATATTTATAAGATAAATTTTTCCAGTTTCATATTTTACACTTTTTTTTTCAGTTCTTTAGTTACTCAAGTATTATTTCTATGTCATCATTTGGGTTGTTACTGTGATAATACTAAAACAAAACTCAATATCCTGAAGTATCTAGTTAACTTTTGTCAAACCTACTAACTCAACAAAATGCATCAATAAAAGCACTAAAACTAACACTTATCTCGTGTTGTTCTCTTTGATGGCTGGGCAGGGGTCAAGCCAGTAGAGACAAACCTTCGGGCTACTGGAACCATTGAAACTGCTTGTCCACGAGGCCAAGTAAATTGTGACCGATACTCAGTAAAGACACCTTTTTCCTCTTCCCTGATGATGGGATTCATCCGGGGACGAGGTGGGGGATAACTTTGAATCATCAGCTGTTAGAAAATATACTTGACAGCTTATTTTAATTTCATTAAATATTTTATCATAGATATCATAGAATTCTGTGTAAAGAACTATTTTAGTAATTCCCACACACAGACTAAAACAAGAAAAAAAACCTAACAAAGAATGTCCAACTAACAAACTTACTCAGCATAAGCTATATTTTCACAAGTAAAGGGAGAATATTAACAAATTTGTAAAACCTTGAAATAACAAAAAATGCCTTATCTGGTACATTAAAAAACAACAGACTTGTTATATCTTGCAACAGCAAGATTCTTCTTATCTGACACAGCTGCCTGTAGCCAAGTCAAAAACAACAGATTTTTTTGTATCTTGCAACATCAAGATTCTTCTTATCTAGCACAGATGTCCATTGGCAAGTCAAAAACAACAGATTTGTTATACCTTCCAACATCAAGACTCTTCTTATCTGGCACAGCTTTCTACAGGCAAGCCAAAAACAACAGATTTCTTATACCTTGTAACACACAAAGGCTTGCCTGTAGACAGCTGAGCCAGATAAGAAGAAAAAAACAACAGATTTGTTTACCTTGTAACACACAAATTCTTCTACAGGCAAGCCAAAAACAACAGATTTGTTATACCTTGTAATACCCAAATTCTTCTTATCTGGCTCAGCTGTCTGCAGGCAAGCCAAGTTTAATATGGCAAAAACTAACAAAGATTTGTCAGTGACCTATGACACAACTTTTCACAACTGCATCCCCATCATCTCTGTTAGGCTAAGTAACAGTATATTCGGTTAAGATCAATTTATGTCTGATAAGCATGGTTTCTTTTCAATAAATATATTGTTATGCTTACTTATGTTGTTTAAGTACAATAAATATAATAATATTCAATATAAAATAGGAATCAGAGTATTTTGCCATTGCTTATCATACTCACTAAATCTAACTAAGCTTACCTGATATCTCATCATAAAAAAATATTTCCATAGCTTTTAGACAATATAATTTAACACATTTTCAGGAACAGAAACACTGTCTAAAGAAATTAAAAAATTTTCAGATCTGGTTTGTCCCCAAGTTTTCTAAATTTTCCATTAGATTTTTTGCCATGGTTTTCACAGACTAATGGGAAAAAAAATTCCAGGGCTTTTCAGCACCAAATAGTCATATTCAAGGATCTAATTTAATTATTTAACAGAATGAGAACACCAACAAAACTAAATAATTAAAATTTTATCATGTTTTAAAAAAAATGCAATAACAGCTGCTTGAGATGTTCTAGCAATAACAGTAGCACCTGAGCTATCAAAAAACTACTTATTCAAGAGAAAAAAAATTATAAAACAAACTTTTAAATTCTAAGTAACCACACTTACCAAACAAAGCACTAATAAATTCATCACTTACAGTCTCCTAACTATACTGCAGCTTTTCCCAGCTTCAGTTTTATAACAAGTTATAAAGTCTTGTACCTTTCTCTCAAATAGTGTGCCTTGGCCAGAGCTAAAAAGTCATCTAGCAATAGTGCTAAGAAAATTAATCAACTATCTATGAGCTGGGATTACAATGATCACTATCACATAAACTAATCAATTAATCAAAGTTAGTGTTTCCATTTATTACTATTTTTGATTATTCCAGCTATCCAAGTAATCAAAATATGATTATCACATTTGTTTGTTGTCAAGTGCAAAACTACATAATGGGCTATCTGTGCTCTGCCCAATTTTAGACTTCTAAGTTTTTGTTTTTTTTATACTTCAAGTATGTTCAGCTCTGGTGATTCGAGAGAGAGGAGAACCTCATGATTTGAAGGTTTAAGTTTGATTCCCATTACCAACAAACTTGCTCACTGTGTCTTTGTTATGGCAAAGCTACTAAGGTTAATCTGCCTCTGTCACTAATTTTGAATTGCTGGCTAGAGGGAAGGTAACTGTCTGACAGCACCGGCTACCTATTTTTTTTATTTTTTTTTTTTTTTAACTGCTTACTAAAGAGAAGGCAATTGGCTGGTCCACTGACAATTTTTTTCTTCTTTTTTGAACTGGTGGCTACAAGGAAAGCAACTGGCTAACAGTACCCACCATCATTTATTTGTTTTTATTTTTTTGCTTTGTACGTACCACAGTTTGAGAAACACTGTACTAATCAATTAATCAGATGTAAAAAATTAATGGGGCTATTGAATAATCGATTACCAAATACCACTAGCTGCCCAGCTTTACCAGTGAGTAATCAAAATTAAATAATATTTATTTAGCATATAGTATTTTAACTTGCCAATAGGGTAAGTCAGCTTGCATCTTATTGGCTGCTAAACATACACCACCATGTCAACCAATCCAACAAAGTAAAGATTCACACTCATACTGTTACTGAGACCACTCTCATATTGTTGCATACATTTACAATGTTGTTTATTTCATGGTTTTCCCCACACGATTGCATTTCATTATTTTTAAACATTTTCTCACTTTACCATTGCAATTCTACCTGACAAAAACTTTTCAAAGAACTGGAAAACTTGTGGGTCAATGAAACCTTCATGTTTCAACATGTTATTCAGTCTAAGTTTTCTTGTATGATAACACATTCCTACATTTAACTCTCAAATGCCCAGTATACTGTGTTTGACACACCTATTGTACGGTTTCTTTCATTGCATTGCAAAAGAAACTACTGGATGAAATAGTTTGAAATTTTAAATGAACTTTTTAAAGAGTACGTAGCTTCTGAAAGCAAAATACCTTATTTTTTATGTGATGTTTGTATGAAGTTGCAGTTCCAAAATTCAAAACTACTTCATTGCAATATGATTTTCTATGAAGCAATTAAAAACCTATGTTGCAGAGTTTAATTGCTGATTTTTATGTCTTCCTACATTCTTGTAAAGCTTTTCTAAAAAAATTTTATTTTATAAAAGTATAAATTTTTATTTGATTCAAAAAGTACCAAACTGTCATTTCTGTCAAGCCCATAGCCCAGGGGGTGCAAATGAACCCTCCACTCCTGCTGGAGTTCCACTCACCTATTAAAATTTTTTTTTCCTTATTTGATGATTGAATTCTCGTTAAATAATTGCTTTTGTAACACTGAGCATACATGCAGAAATAGCATTTTCACACTTATCTGAGGAAATTTACTAGAAATGTATATTTGCAGTAATAATAAAGGCTACGGGCTTGTTGGTGCACAATAAAAATTAATGTTTGTCATATTAAAAGCTATCATTTTCCTAAACTGAAAATGTATTTCCAAACATACTTACCTCTGCTGACACTAATAGCTATTTCTCGATCTTCATCTTTGCCATCTAATGTTGTGTTCACTCGCTCCAGTCTTTATATACCCCACTTGACTGTCCTCGACAATATTTAATTTGCAAAACTTTACACCAGCCCTCACACTACCTCTATGCAGGTACTGTATATAAGCACTATATGCAGACAATAAAATCACTTTTTCAAGACTTACCACATTCCGGTCACTAACACCGGCTCTTAGTGGGGAGAGTGTCAGCAGAGGTAAGTATGTTTGGAAATACATTTTCAGTTTAGGAAAATGATAACTTCCAAAACATACATACCTCCGCTGACACTAATAGCTAGAATCCCACACTGAGAAGACAGAAGGGCAGGTGAGGACAGAGATCATACAGAAAGCATCTGCAGAGAAC